CCCCTCAGGTCTGCCCCCGTTCCCCTCAGGTCTGCCCCCGTTCCCCTCAGGTCCACCCTCAGTCAAGGTGTGTTTCCCTGCCTGTGGTAAGGAATGGGGCAGGAGCCAGTGACCGTGCTCATCCTGGAATTCCAGTGGCCCACAGCAGCGGAGTGATTGTGGTGTTCACTTCCTGTGGTGTTTCTCCTTGAGTTTCAGGATTCTGTAACACAAAGACTTGGGCCCCCAAGGCCTTTTCTTCAGGAAAGTGAACTGGGATTTTTTTCTTTTTCATATGTAATTTCTGCATTTTATTGGCTCAATACATCTCTTCCTAGTAATGGCACGGGACATTCGGGTATATACAGAAGTTGATGGGCTAACACCCATTTAATGGTTGAAAGACAAATTTTCCAATCAAAACAAAGAGGATTGCTGTTCACCACTGTAGTAATTTGCTACATAAATAAACCACTGATGTGGTTACAAAGATCTAATGATTAAAAAGATGCAATAGGGATCATCTACATAACTTCATTTGTCTATATGGAATTTTGCAATGAAGTGAATTGTGGTTTTGTTTGTTCTTAACTTTAAAGTAACATTCATGAACTGAGAGAGCTAACAAATGCTGAGAAATACTAACTGCATTTAGTAAGATTTATACTTTCATTGCATCCCATAGTTTTAATACAGTACTCAGAAAATTAAATCTTTTTTAGTCCAGCACCTTTCTTCTCTGTTTATTGTTGTTCATGCCTCCTAAATTCATGAATAACAAGTGAGCAAAGAAGGATTTTTTCCAAGGTTCGAGCTTGAAATATAAACCTGAGAGGAATGAATTATGAATAAAATTATAAGTTTAATATGGCAATAGCAGGTACATTTCCCTGTAATAAATTATTGTACCATCTAGGAAAGTCTGCTTAGTTTATATGAGTAATATTTGATGCTTTTGCATCCATAATCCATTTTGCTGCATTCTTTCTATGCAGCTTTAAGTGCAGAAGACACTCTTGAAATCAGTTGGCCAAGGTGATTGATTTATTTTTTTCTCCCTATTCCTTGCAGCTGTTTCCGTACTGTCTCTTATGTATGTCCAAGTATTTGTGGTTTTTTTTCTCTTTTTCTCTTCTGAGTAATCACAATATGTGCTCCTTCCTTAGTTGGTTATTTTTTTTTCCTCCTAGTCGAGCCTCTCCAGTGCTGTTAGATGGTGTCAGATTATCTCAACCTTTGGGCTGTCTGTGCCCTTTTTTACCTCCAAATAAACTAAAAGTAGCAAAACTGCTTTGGTAGAAGTTTTCCAAAATGAAAATTCAGCCTGTGACATATGGGCCTCATACAAATTTTCAGACTGAATGGTTTAAGACCGCTATGATCTTAAGCAGCAGAATAGAGTCTCTAGCAGAATAGATACAAATATTGAGCAACCTTTGCCTGTTTAGAATTTCCAGAGGTTTTTTGTTCATGAGTGCTATTTCAAACTGCATTTCAGGGTACTCAGATTTGCTATAATAGCAAATTAGCAAAACTTCACTCATGTCCATTTCCTAAATGGCTCTCTTGGTGGAAAATCTTATAAATGTGGGATTATGAATCTGGAAGTATGTTTTGGTTGTTTTTTGAAGGTAAATGAAGAAGACTGTTCATACAAACCATGGACATTTATGATTTGTATATTGCATCCGTATTTAGGCTGGAATTTACAGTAATGGTCTTTTCTTGCTTTCTTCCCCTTTCCCTTCTCATGTTCCACCTAAACCTCCCTGATTTTTGAGGGGGCTTTGCCGTTTACTTCACTGGTGTCTGATTTAGGGTCTAAAAGCTCGGTGTCAGACAATGTTTGCAAGACTAGGAATGAGCTTGGGTGTCTCTAAGTGGTGTTTTCAGTCGGGCACTACCACTTTGGGAGGAGTTCCAGTTGAGTACTGCCCTCCCAGTTTTGACTCTTCCCCTCCTGTTTTGTTTCGCATAGACTGGGAATGACAGGCAACCATTTGCTGTCTCACTGTCGGTGCCTCAGGAGTCAAGCTGCATCAAGAGAGTTCTTCACAGAGCTGTTTCTAGGAACTCTTTAGTTAGATTCTTGAATCAAAAGGTAAGATTGAAGAGGAATGTAGGCGATTTTCCATGTTAGTGGAAGTACATGAAGCTGTAAATGGAACTGTTATAGTTGTTTAATAAAATAACGAGTTCAAAAGTTAAAAAGAGTTAAAATGCTGGTTTTCTTAACCAACTTGCTAAAAAAAGAACTGTAAACATGACTGTTTTAAAAGTGTTATTAATATTTTAAATCATCGTGGTCATGTTGCTTTAAGCCAGTAGCCAAAGTTGTGTGATGTGTTTGCTTATCTTCCAGACATGAGAAACCGTATTGAAATAATGGAAAAGGAAGAATAAAATGTTGCATAGATGCTGCTATTTAAAGAAGTTTAACTTACCCCCTTGCACTTTGCTGGATTAGGCATCTCATGCAAGAAAGGTTTATGTAAATGTATATTTATCACGACTCAGTGTGAACATACTGACTTAGTGCATGATTTTATAACTTTGTTTTTGATTTTAAAATATAGAAGACACTTGTTTATAAGTGAGGGGCAATGGGGGGCTGTTATGTTCAGTACAATCTTCTGCATATTTCAAAACCTTTATGTGCACAATTTTCTGTTAAGTAAAATCCATTTGAATTTCTCTTATTAAAGGCAAAAGCTGTGTTCAGACCTCGTGAAGCCCAAAAGATATCCAACAGCAAAGAATTAGGCCTTGTGACAGACATTTAGGAAAAATGCATATTGAACTGTTAATGTTTTCTCCTATTCCAAACCAGTTGGTTGATGTTGGAAAACTAATCCACCTTGGAAAAAGGTTTGGGGTTTTTTGCCTTTTTCTTTATGGTTGCTCTTCACCCAAATCATTTTGAGTTGAAATGAGAGCAAAGGTCAAAATGGGCAGGAATGTCTTCAGTCTTTATTTCTGAAGCTGTTTCACCAGAAACACTGTATCAGCTATACAGAGGTTTTTTTCTGAGCCAAGTTTTGATTTGAAGCTGGTTGTCTGAGTTGATACAGGAAATAGAGTGCCATGCAGCACTGGGAACCCCACTGGAGGAGTAAATGTGCATGTCAAGGTCTAGCCATTTATTCAGGCATGGCATGGTGGGATTGTGGTTTCACTTGAATACTGTTTTTCTGTCCCTGTTTATTGGATTATGCTTTCCTATGTGCTAGGTAGCGCTAGGTAGCTGCTTGCCTGCATCCCAAGTGATTTGCAAGCATATCTCAAAATCAATATATGTGTTTCAAAAGTATCAGTCACGTTTGCTACCCTTTGTTCTGGGATTGTTTTGTGCGTGTCTGTAGGTAATGGGGAAGAAGGATACTATTCTAGAATACTAGACTACTATTTGGGTCAGTGGACAAAACAAATAATGCCAACTTTTATGTCAGTTTGAAAATAGTTACATAAACTACTATGTGATGGTGAAGCATCCTGGGGTAATGAAACAACCATATCCATTGGCAAAGTCAGTAGCAGCTCTACAAAGAATAAAAAACCACATTTTTTTACCTCATTGCAACTGAGCAAGACAAAGACATTTGTTAAGCAAAGCAGTAGAGTGTAATGTTGGAATAGATAATTGTCAGCAAAAAGGGGAAATGGGGAATTGCACATAACAAATAAAATTTTAAAACCTTTTACTAGCACATCATGGAATTTTTTGTTAGCTATTTTTTTTTTAATGAGTTGAACAATATCCTATTTTTAGTGGAAGGTCAACTTGAACTTTATTTAAACAGAGCCTCTGGTTCTGAACAGAGATAGGAACACTTTAAATGTGATAACAAAAGGGAGGGATTGGAGCCAGACCTTCTTGACCTATCCTTAGGAGCACAGGATAGCCATCCATGTAAGAACTGTATGCCACTTAAATAGAGAGGGGTCCTTGTTCTGGGCTCAAAGTGCATGCAGTGAAAATAGCACTGGGACTCATGTGAAAGGAATTTTTTTCTTTAAGAATTTGAAACGGATCCAAAAAATGGTTGTGTTTTTTTTTTTTTTTTTTATAAAGTAAATATTTATTTCAGTACCTTAAATATTACAAGTGTAGTTCCTAGACCAAAAACTTGGTCCTTGCGAAACTGTACCTGGAAGAAATCTTACAAACATAATATTCTTAAAGTATTTCTAAACTAAGCAGTATTCTTTTAATTCTGCTGTCACTCACAGTGTTGTATATCCACTAGAACTCTGCTGAGCAGGGCAATGATTTAGTTGACTGGGAAGGTGGTGAGGCTGTTGTCAAGTTCCCGTGGTTGGGTTTCAGTGGAGAAGAGTTTTCTTGCTGTGGCTGTAGGCTCAGGACCGTGACACACATTTTTTTGGATGGCTGAAAAACAGCCTGGCATGCCAGTGCAAAGCCAAAAGTTGTGCAGCTGGTCAGGCTGTAGGATTCACACTTCTGCTGGAGCGGCTCCTAGAATTTGTCGCTGTGTCGCAGCTGGAAGTGTTGCATTCACCAAAGGCAGGAATTCTGGTGGTGTGTTTAAGGGACATGAAGGTATTAGCTGACCTAGGAATAAGAATACTAGTATCTGGGTAAACTTAACATGTGAGTATGGAAGAAGATGCTATATACTTTAGATTTATAGTGTAAATTATATTTGGAAATGTTTTACTCTCCTTAGCCTGCTTATTGGCCTCAGTTAAAGAAAGTGGAAGTAAGGTGCTCCAGTGACTATGATGGTTTTATCCCAGCACTCTGTCCCTGATTCTGCCACTGGCATTCTCTGTGATCCCGAGTAAATAATTTTTCCCTTGTGATTCTATTTCCTTACGTGATATTGAAACACAACCTCTGCTTGGAAAAGTGCTTTGATGGAATGCACTGTAGGAAAACTAGACCTGAGTGTTAAACAAGGAAAAGAGAACATATTCTGAATGTTATAACCCTGGGGAAAATCTTAATTTTTTTATCTCACTAAATATCAGAAGGTTTGGGTGAGACAAGTTCGTTGAGGTGTAATGCTTTCTCCCATCTCACATGTTATTTTTCCATAACCCATAATTAAACTTTTTCACGCCATGAGGTCAGTCGTGACCTGTTGCTTGCCACGTGGATTCTCCAGTATCCATACAGAACTAGGCTCAAGCTAGTTTCTTTTCCTTGGTAGCTTGATTTTAAGGGATGATATATAACACTGTTTATGCTGAGAACTATGTTGAAGAACTTGGAAATCTTATGTCCTTGGGAATTTCAGCTGCTTTTCAGATATGGATTGAAAAAGTGCTCTAGAGAGAAAGTAGACACAGGCAGAAGTGAAAGGGAGTATAAAAAGAAGTGCTGTGGTTTTTATTTTCCAGTTACTTCACTGCAAATCTACACCTAAATGCAAAGCCTGTTTAAATAAAGTAGCTTTCAGCTATTAAATGTTATTAATGGATCTGAATCTTGTCACCTTCTTCAGTTCTCCAGCTCTTCTTTCCTTTGTGATGTCTGTGCATTAACATGGGAATAACATGCGTGTTTCTTGTTGCCAGTGGTAAGAAGTGAGAAAGTCTGAGATGGTTAGGGTGTAACCTGACAGCTTTGTCTGGAAATCTAAATAATTTGGCAGGTGCACTGTAGGTTTTCCCCGGTATTAAATGGGCCAGATCGTTCCCAGGTGTTGGAGATAGTGCTCCATTCTGGGCCTTGGTCTGGCCCACAAAGTACAGCAGGTCTTCAAGCAAAAGAATTGTTGTATTGGGAACAGAACTAGAACATTTTAGCATTCTGAATATCTTATTTCATATGTCACCTAGAGAATTAAAGAGAAATGCAACAATTGTTTTTGTGACTTCTCTGAAGTCTGATTAGCTCTCGCTGTACTAGCTCATTAGCAAAAAGACTAATAAATTTTATTCCCAGAGTACTGTTGGTACCAATTGATTAAGCGGTATAAGAAATATTGAAATTAAGACCAAATAATAAAAAGCATTCTATTACATATTCTCACATCTTGGACATCCTCCGGTGCCCTGTCCGTGTGTATCTTGTTAAAAAACAAATCAAGACTACTTTGTCTTAATATTTTTTTCTAGGCTTCCCTGTTTTTCAGAAGCCAATAGGCCTGTGCCTTTTGTGAGATTGATAGGATATTTTATGTCATTATAGAGTACTACACAATAGAAAAAAAACAAAAGAGAAAACAAATTTGGTGCCAAGTGACTGGGTGAGAGCCTTATGAATCCCTTTGCTGTCCAGCTCAGGAGGCTGAGAGTGAGTCATTGCCTCCAGACAGAAGTTGGCACACAACTGGAATATATGGGAAAACAGTAGCTGTGCTGAAAATTCCAAGAACAATCACTAGAAGTATGACATGTTTCATGTCATCTAATTGTTCAAAAGCTTGTTAACTCTGATTTTTGTTGCCACGCTTGTGCCCTCGGATATAGCTTTAAGGATGCCCATCCCCCTGCCAGCCCTCCAGCAGCCACTGTGTCCTGTCAGTCATCCTGAAATACACTGGAGAGCTTGTCAGGCAGTGCCTTGCAGATGCCTCAGGAGCCCCATAGTGAGCCCCAGCAGTTGCACTGAAGTTCCTAACCCAAGGAATTACGTAGTTGCCTTAGTGCTGAATATGGACCATGTGTTTTCTAGGATAGGTGAGTGATATGCTGTTGGCTTTTTTATGCTCTAGCAGGAAATGGATTTTAAAGTTCAGATTTTCTAATTTATGCAGAATATCTTTGGCTCTGCTTTCTGACACTTATCGTATCCGTATGCAGATGGTTTAAAAGCTGCAGGTGCTGCGTTCACATTGTGCTGCAGATGGATACAGACTTTGGCTGTTTTTCCAGTGCCTCTGGCCATTTTTCCAGTGTCTTTGGCTATGTCTGATGAAAAGGCAAAATTCTCCTGATATTGAAGTTTGTAGCACTTGGTAGGAGCGTGCAGGTGGTTTCTTTTCTGGCTGTTCTGGGACACAACTGTATCTTGTGACACATGCTTAACATCCTAAGTGTGGTAAGAGCAGCTCGTCTCCAGTGCTGAAATCGCCCACTGTAAAGGTTAATCTAACCGAGTGTGAGGTTATAGCAGCCTTCTGCCAAAATATC